CGAGCCATATGATATTTGTCTCGATCTCTTTGCTCAACTTCCCACCTTTTCTAGTCCATTCTTCCCCTAGACGCTTTGCGACTTTGTGCACTTGCAATAGGGTTTGACTTTCGATTTCCGCTCCCAGTCCAAAGTTTTCAAACAGTGCCTCCCGTGCAGCTGCAGTGATTACCCCTCCTTGTCTCATTCCTCCTCCAATCCCTTTTCGAGTTCTTCGCATCTGCTGAATCAATTTTTTGTCACCAAGAATCATTGCGCCCATTGGGGCTCCAAGATTCTTACTAAAATCCACGGAGACTAGGTCAATAAGGCTGCAATATTCTTTGAGAGTCCCAGCACCGGTAGCAACAGCCTCGAAAAGTCTAGCACCGTCCAGGTGAGTCCTCACGTTATTTTGCTTTGCCCAATCCCGGATGCGGCGGAGCTCATGGACAGGAACGACTGCTCCACCAGCTGTATTTTCCATAGAAACAATGCTTGTGGGGCATTTGTGGACATCGTCGGTTAGAATTGCGTGCTCCTCCAAATCTTCCACTCTCAGATATTTACCATTCGACGGCTGCACAGGCTGAAGCATGGCGCCGCTAAGCATCGAAGAGCCACCTGCCTCATAGTGTATGGCATGGGACTCTGAGCTAAGTAAAATCCCACACGGTCTAGTTGAGACTAGAGCATGCAAACAAAGCTGATTGGCCATCGTCCCTGTGATCACGAACATGCCTTCTTCTCGGCCGCTGATTTCAGCCACATGCGCTTCGAAGTGGGCAGTCGTTAGGTCTTCTCGAAATACGTCATCGCCGAGTGTAGTCTTGACCACCGCGGACAACATCCTAAGGCTAGGGCGTGTAATAACATCACCTGCACAATAGTTAGTATCGGACTTCTTTGTACGATTCAGCATGTTAATTACTCCTAAAATCGCACCTTGCAGAGCCTGGTTGTCCCCATGCAATATTCTCAAGCGATTGAAGTATGTCTAGTATGGAATTCCTATCGGATTTGTCAATGTTTCCATTCAAAACCATGTTCGACATCTCGAAATTTCGAAAATATCCGTTGCAACAGATGGATTTTTCAAATTGGGAAGCACATGCTTTAAGGCTACGGGTGAAGGAATAACACGTAGATTAAGTAATAGTGCAGGATGGAAGACCACAACAATCTTACGTAATCTGAGTTCATCTCGCGTATCCAATCACGTAAGCGATGACTCTATCTATCTTCGACAAGGAGCTGTTCTTCTATAACTTATGGTAAACCCTCTTATACTTAATTCAAGAACAAATCAGCGAAAAGGTTAACTAATCTCTAAAGGTTCTCAGCCATCGACATCATGGCGATACCCTTGCCTGCATTTTACAGTATGTTAGTGGAAGTTCGAATTGTTAACTAGCATTTGATCTTAATTTTCCCATTTAGAATGGGATGTTTACGATAGTAAATTAAACAATGGTATGTACTGGCAATCACACCGCCATAGACTTCTATTACTACTTTTGTTTACACCTATCAACAAGCCATGTGTGCTGAATTTGCTGTCTCCAGTACACGGACACGTAGAATGTCGATACACAGCCCAAACGGGCTACTGGTCAGACCCTTGTTTCGTCCAAAGCCCTTTTCTGAGCGTCCATGGTCTTGCACCGGGGCTAAATTATGGTAAATGTAGCTAGTATCGTCGCATCAGAACACTGCTTATATATAACTTTAGGGCAGCAAGTATACGAAGGAATTCAAGGCAAGTAAGCTATGTTTT